CAATTCAGAATACCGTAAAAATTGAATATTACGGACCGAGATAGGAAGATATGGAAAATACTTTCACCAACGATTGCAAGAGAATGCTGCCTTGTCTCGGGGCTAACAAGTGTCTTTTGGAGCAAAAATTTCGTTGCGGCTAAAAGACACAGATGGCGTCGCTGGTCCTAAACGGTCGTTAGAATGATGAATTCATGGGATTTCAACAGTTTTACATCGATCACATTATCATTACTTTACTAAAATGGCATATGAATCGCTTAATTTCGTATAATTTTCAACGTAGATTGTAAATATAAATATCGATAAAATTCCGATGTATATAAAAAAGATAAAAGACGAAAGTGAAGACGTACACGCGCGATGTCACGTTTCCGTTGAAAGTCGTTGAAAAATTACGTGTCCTACGAGGGAGAGCACAAGTCACTTTTGTGATGTATCGGGCGGTTATCGTTCATTCGGACAAACACGTACGCCGGGTTTGATAAACGTCATTTTCGTGTTATCGGGGACAGGGTGAACACATCGGGTTGTACGATACCGTAATCTACGTGTTTCACTTGTAACACCGGAAGCCTCAATTTTCCCGTCTCGAGTGTGCCTTGGAGAGAAACCGCCCGCGAGATAAAAAGAATTTCTCCCAACCGATGCGTCGCAATTCAAAGATAAGCATTACCGATTTAACGCGCGGGATTACGCGATATCCGCGAGTAATTTTACTCCGTTGGACGGCACAAAAAGAATATCCCGGCCGGATTAAATATAGAGTATCATCGGAGGGCCGAGCGTTCTCGTTATCTCGTCTACGAGGCAAAAGGGATCCTGGAGCTCCTCTCGTCGGAGTGGCTTCCCGGGGATTCTCTTCGTGTCAACGCTCGCCGAGGGAAGTAGGTTACCCCTAAGTAGGTTACAAACGGAAGACCCCCATTATGACGGTCAATCAATAATATCGACGCCTCCATACATACATAAATGCGTACATATATTTTATACGCATTGTCCGAACACGGCGGAATAAATGGGAGGAAAAAAAAAAGAAAAGAAAAATGAAATTTAAACGGTCCCCTAGCTTCGCCCTCTGGGAGAAATAAACGTCCGCCCCTGCACGTTCGGACGGAATTTCGAATAGAGGCAGACTCTCGTATTACGGATTCTTTTTCTCTTTCTATTTCTTTCCGCGAATTGTTTTTCCATTTCAAATCATACCCCGGGAAAACGCGAGGAAAATCGCGTGGAAACAGGATGTCGGTAATCCGCACCGAGTGGTCTCGAGAGAGAAAAAATAGAGAGCAAAGGGGAGTCCTCGAGTCCTCCTCGTCCGAGAGGAATCGGGGAACCGGGTTATCGTCGGGGAAGCGGCCGACGGTTTTCAAGTGGCCCGAGACCCAGTTTCTTGGGGGGATCGATCGACCACTGCCGTCGTCCGGAGGCTCGTGCGACGACATCGACCGGGGTCGCGACGCGCGCGAACCCTCTCGTGGTCCGAAATTTTTGCGAGGCATGACAAGAGTCGAAATTTTTGCGAGGCACGACAAGAATCGAAATTTTTGCGAGGCGCGACAAGAGTAGACATTTTCGCGAGGCACCACAAGAGTAAACATTTTTGCAACGCACGACAAGAGTCGAAATTTTTGCTAGGCGCGACAAGAGTAGACATTTTTGCGAGGTACGACAAGAGTAGAAATTTTTGCGAGGCACGACAAGAGACGAAAGTTTTGCTAGGCGCGACAAGAGTAGAAATTTTTGCAAGGCACAACAAAAGTCGAAATTTCATGTCACGTGCTACACAGTTTCAAATTATTTGATGCACCCAATTTGGAGAAAAGTTTTATAAGTATTTTCACGTGTTATGTACATAGAATGACCCTTTCGTTTCATCTTAAGATGACTACACACGTAAGGATAAATCGTCGCGATAAATCTGTGCAAGCCGGACTGCACCCACGGATTTAACCGACGCGTGGATATCCCGTGGACGGAATAGAATTCGATTTACCTGCACCTTAAAGTGGCCCACGTACGTATCGATAAATCGTAGCGATTTGTAACGCATGCAGTCGAATCGAATTCTCCTGCAGCGTCCACGTGTCAATTAGGAGGGTCGAATTTTCCCCTTAACGTGAACGGGAATGCGTATATTATACGGAGGAGGAAATCTATATACCTAGGAAACAATCGATAATTTCGGTGTTTTTGTTGACACGGCGGAGATTCGCGCCACCGAGTGGGCGGGAATTTTCGGGTCACGGGGAAGAAGTTGGCTCTGAAACGGCGCGATCGACTCGGTCCAATTTCGACGTCAGTACGAGCGGGCCTGGCCTCGTGGCCATTCACGATGTTTTACGATTTTCTGAGATTTCCAGGGATTTTCTGCGCTATTCCCCGACGTTCGAAATCTTCCCCGACTTAACGAACAACGTGCGACAAATATCGCGACGTTTTCCCTGCATTTCCTTTATAGACCACTATTTATTGCGCGGATAACGTTCTCAAGGATTTTCCAAGTAGGAGAAAAATCCTAGGTGCGTAGGCGGGATTTTTTTTGCATTTCCTTTTTAGACCATTATTTAGGGCGTGAATAACGTTCTCGAGGATTTTTCAAGTAGGAGAAAATTCCGAGGCGCAACGGTATCGGCTAAGACGAACTCGGTCTGCGGGGGCAGAGGCGATTCGCCAATTCGAGCCAGATCGAATCACGGACCGTGACCCAAAAGTCGGAGGCTGGTCAGCGAGGTCGCAGGCGACTCCTTTGGACGACGGCCAGCGAGTCGGTTCAACGAACCGTCCCCGTTGAACGGATGCTGAGGACCGGGACGAGGGGGCGAGGTCGGCCCCGAAAACCGGGAACCGCTCGGCATCGCGGTCGGCATTTGATCCGAATACACAAATAGAGAGTAACGTCGGAGAAATAGCCCCGTTTAACGTCGCCCCGTCGAGAAATTACGCGCGCAATTCGAGCCGATTCCCCAATTCCTCTCGTTCGGCGGAGCTCTCGATCGTAAAGATCTCTCCGTCCCTCCTCCTCCCGATTTTCCAGGCCTCAGTCCCGTCGAACGAGCCGCGAAAAACAAGGATATCTTTTTGCGGCATCGGCTTAGCAGAGCAAATATGACCGGTGCAACGGTGTTGCACGCCCCGGCGACGACGGTAACCAGAAAGTACGGCTTCGGCAAATAGAATTATCGCCGTTCCGCGTCCCACTTGGAAAGAGTGCGTACGCTAATTCCTACCACAAACTGTACGCCCGTCTACTGCACACACGATGCATGATTTACACGTAAAGCTACACGGCGAGTACATTTATGGTCCATTCTACGTCGACTCCCAGACGACATCGGAATATCTGCAAATATTTATCCCGCTCTAAATGCCTCTCTTATACCCTCCCGATCATTTGCCAATCTTAATACCACTCTTTTCACATCCTCGGGTTAATTACCACTTACTAAAAATTCTTCGACAAGCGACTCGTGCAGCCTCGACTTTTTCGTTGCAAAACTTCCCCTCAAATTATGCTTTCAAAATTGCTTCAAAAGTAAAAAAAAAAGAGAGAGAGAGATAACATGCAAGATTCCGAGGAATCTACTTCGTCGTTTAGTCCCGATAATCACGGCTAATAAACAGTAGTTAACGTCGTAGACCATGGGAGAAAAAAATAAAATAAAAAGAGCGATGAGGCGAATACTCGTGCCTCGCTAGTGGGCGAATTTCGCAACCGACGTCACGCGTACGGCGGCGTATACGCGTCGCCTAGTCCATTGAGGAGTTATCATTCACAGGTCGGCGGTCGGCGTGACGAGGTCCGACGTCGGGCTCGTCCCTGGGCGACAACGCGTCGTCCAACGTCGTCACGCGTGAGACCACCAATGCGAGCGTTGCCAGAGAAACGGAGGCGGTCGTTTCCGCGCGTTTCCGCGACACTCGCTCGAAAAACATAGAGAAATGATTATACGTATTTAATGCGTGGCCAGCCATTTCGCCTTGGCGAAAAGATGAGGAGGTTAACGTTAAATTACCGAGCCGGTTACACGACCGGTTTTAATCCTTCGTCCTCTAGGAGGAACCAGAAACTCGAGGTTACGTCGATGGAACATAAATTAATGTACGGCACTACGTTTTAATATTTCACGTATCTTTGAATCTAATAAAATTTCATCGAAAGAACTACACGATACTGCAGATAAGCCACCGAATGTTCATGCAAATTAAACACGAATAGTCAATGTCTCCTCTCACTTGCCATTCGAGTTGCTGCATCGAATCAACCAAGAGTCGACTCACGAGGGCAAAGGGTTAACATTAAGATTTATAATTATTCCATAAATTCTATTGATTTTCCTCAATCCATTTCTCTAGTTTCTCTATATGTGTAAAACCAATTCTGCATTTTCTGTTTCTTTTCCCTTACAGCTCACTCCGAGATGCATATGTACCGTACCTATTTCTACCATGACCGGTTGAATAATTCACTTCAAAGTCTTCATTTTAAAATAAATGAGTATTCCCCGACATCACTTCTTCCCATAGATGGATGCGAAGATACGTAAAACATTTTAGGTCTTCCCATTACATTCGATTCGATGTCCTTGTGATAAAATCACATAAAGTCTGAATCCTTGCATCTATTATTATACAGAAAGTCTAATTGACCCTAACAACCATCGAAACTGAAATAAAAAAAATTTGTTTTAAGTACTGCTTAGAAGAATCATCTCGTTTATTACTCCGCTTCCCAAAGAGACTATTACTTGCGTTAAATTGACAGAAATGAGAGTTTGATTTAAAAACTGATCATTTCGCCGTCATCGGTAGAAGTAGGTGTCCATAAGCCGTCAATAGTTCAACGTTAAAAGTCGAGGGAGGAAGGGCAGCTCGCGCGTTCCGAGCCGCCTTTGAGGTTAGGTCGGTCGGATCGGGGCGCGCGTCGTCCCTCCATCCATCCGCTCGGACCCTATCGGCGACTAACGGTGCCCCGTGGCAAACCCTCGACTCGCCGTTACCTGTTACCGAAGCGTTCCTTCCAGAATTCGGCTGCGTCGGACTTGGTGATGCGAAACTGGTCCCCGGCGAAGACGCCGTTGGGGAAGATGGCCTTGAGCTCGGAGAGCATGTGGCTGAAGACGAGGCTGAGCTTGGTGAGATTCCGCCGGTAGTGGGAGGTCTCGTCGAACATCTTCTCCTTGCCCTCCTTGAAGAGCTTGATGGCCTGCTTGCACTTACGCATCAGGTTGTTGATGAAGACGCAGAAGTGCTCGTTGGCGTGGAGGACGTGCATGCGGTCCTCGTACTTGCTGTAGATGAGCCTGAGTCGCTGGTACGTGTCCGGCAGGATGTCCAGGATGAACGGGGGCGAGTTCTTCAGGTTCATGCGCTGGTGCTGGCATAGCTTGACCACCTTGTCCATGAGCTTCCAGGTCTTGTCGAGCATCCGCTTGTCGGTCGAGAGCTTCGGGGGCGTCATCGCGTCGGCGAAGCGACCCTGGAGCTTTTGGAAGATCGAGCCGATGTGCACGGCGCGGCTGCGGCTGCTGTGCCCCGACATCTTGAGGCCTGGCTCCGTGCGGAGAGGTCCGGACCCCCCGGTGCCGAGAGCGGCTCGCTCGGCTCGCTTCGGCTCGACTCTCTCGCCTCGCCTCGCCTCGCGCCCCGCCGCCAGAGGCTACGCGATGCGACTCGATCCCGCTTGGCCGCCGCCGCCGACGCCGCCGCCGAGACCCGAAAAGATTGCCGACGCACCGCCGACCCTTACGTAACGCTCAACCTCTGAGGAGCAGGACGCATTTTAATACGCCGAAGGCCCTTCCGCGACGTTCTCACGAGGTCTCCAACGCGAGACGCGCCGCGACGTCACGCCATTCGACATCCTGCCCGTTACTGACCATTTGCTCGCTCTTCCTGCCGACCGCCACGGCCTGCCGCGCCGTAAGCGGGCGGCCCGGGTAGTACGCCAAACTTCGCTCGACCGCCGCTTCGTGGCGTGTCGATCGCCATCAATTCTATAGCGCCACTTTCGAACCTCCCGCATCCTCCGCATCGATTGACCAGTGCTCGGATCTCACCGGTCGATATGTTCCAGATGCAACGAAATCTGGGAATTTAACATTCGCAGTTTTTTCCATGTTTATTTTAATCGGAGTTGCCGCGAAGTTTCCTTGAAGTTGCGACGCAGGTTGGGGCGAGGGTGTTTGGATTTATTTTCAAAAGCTTTTATTTACAATTGATATAATTCGTAAGGAAGGCTTTTAAATCGTAATCGATTAACGCTGCGTACTGGGGGAGGAGGTTTGGCTTATGACATTTGAATTGGTCGGGGTTATTTATTAATCAGTGGCACCTGACAACGTACGACAAGTTGTGCTTTCGACATGACATGTGCTGTAATAATATACAATGTCTCCATGATTTCAGTACGATCAGATATAATGACAACCGTTACCTAAATTATTGGATATTTTTATTAACAGCTGTGTATTTGTAGTTAATTATTTAGGAGATCGAGATGTTTTACAGGGAACCAAAAGACTTAACAAAAAATAAATACATAAGCAACTATTGTAAAGTAACACCACGTAATACATTTAAGTAGTCCGATATGTAAAACGATGCGACATGAGCCTTGCAAATTTAATAGCAACAAATATTTTCATACGCAATATAACTCGCTCTAGGATAATACATTGAATTTCTAAAATGACAGGGTATTTATATTTTCGTTGTACTTTTATACTTTGCTATTTTAACATCACCACAAAATTATTACTTTTTATAAAGCAGCAATTTATCGTATAATACAGACATAAAAATACACGTTTGAAAAGAACGGTAGTAAAACATACTAGATACTTTTAAAAATTGTGTTTCATTTGAAATAAATACTTAATAAACGAAACCCATGTGAGAATTTTGTCACAGGATCATTAAATCCTTTCAAATGTCTCTATCAAAACTAGATTTGTGTGATATGGCTATGTATCCTGCATAACCGTGCCAAACAAATAATGGCAAACATTCACTATTATAGTATTGTGAATAATAGAAATATATAGTGCCTGTACATTGATTTTAATACGCCTATTCCAAGTAGAAACTAGTGAACATTCTATGTTGTATCAGCACTCGATAACAGAAGTATGGTCACTTGTGAATACTTGTACGTTACTTTACTTTAAATTTTACTGCCTATATGTGGGTTTAACTTTTTTCTTTAAACCGACTAGTATGGCAAGGCAGTTGAACAATGGTACCATGACTTGCCATTCGATAATAATGCACTTAACGAGTGAGTAATGTGATTCATGACACCATCCCAAAGTCAATTTACAATAACACGAATTAATGGGAAAACTGGAATGGATTCACATCTTCCGACTTGTTGAAACGCAGCTAACTGTAACGATATTCTTTTTAAATGTCTCCCCATTTGTTCAAATATGAGAACGATTTAAAAAATCGTTTGATTCTTCTCTGAGGTTATCTGCCAAGCATTGTGGGTTTCAGCACAGCACTGTAGACTTGTCGTCACCGGGTTTCTACGTGATAACTTAATCGCAATAGGATGAAACTTGTCATTATGAACCAGCTGGCTGGGATCGATGCCAAAATCCGATATCTCTCTTCTAAAACAAAAAAAAAATACACGTCGATTTTTCTAACAAACAAATGTAACCGAAAGCATTTTTTAATAGCTAATCATTATGAACATTATACATTTTAACTTCAAATTTTTCATGAATAACACACTAAAGCAAAAGTTGACAATCTGTCTGACATAACTTAGGAAAACTACAGAGCGATTTGTTATATTCTTAAAAGTACTTAATTTTAAATGTAGTCACAGCAGGAATGTTGATGTTATTCAATGCGTATCATCAAACGGGTAACTTATATATATACTGATAGGAGTATTATTTATTAATCCCGATAATCATTATAAACTGTATCAAAATTGTTTTATAATACAATTAAGTAAAAAACACGATTTAAAAGACGCAAGTAATAACACGATATAAAGTCTTCACGCCTTAACAAACATAATATTCACATGCAGCACATACATTGCACACAAAATAAAAAATTATTCAGTGTCTCAAGGATGCGTTGGACAGTTGTCACGATTAATGCTGATCACTACTTTAAAACTATTCTGCTCTATTTACAGCAGTGAACACATTTTACCACATCTGCCGTTTGAATTAATCTTAATAACCAGTCAATGGAGAAAAGGAGACTAGAGATTCTTGCAGTTTAGTCGGTCCTCCCACGATATGATTTTGCTACTTTTTTGAGCTTTACCTGTCATATTATCGGATATTTTCATCGCCGCCCATCCTAAACTTCTGTGCACGGCCATTTTCCACTTTTTATACCTCAAATCCCGCTCTGTAAATTAATTATATTTAATTAGGATGTTTTAAAACCATCCCTTATTCACGTTTTGAAAAATATATTAGCTGCAGCAAACCTTCTGGAGTGGTAGTGGGCAAAAATGTTTCAACTTTTACCGTCTCTACTTGGTGGCCTTCCAGCTCCCAAACGTCTATACCCTTTGCGTTGCCTGCTACCATAGCGGCACCCAACGCACTGGTATCTGGCATTATTGATCTAACTGTAAATTAGAAATTTGATAGAAAATGCTAATTAAACATTTTCATTCTATCAATAGAATTTATGCTGACGTTGAAAGAAACATACGCTACGCATAATGAATATAAATGAAAACGGCAGAGATCCGTTTCTCTACGTACACACAGGAGTTCCACAAAGATCTGCTTGCAGTTGCATCAATAATTTATTGGTCGACATTTTCCCGTCTGTATGCAGTTTCGTTAAAGGTAAGCCACAATCCTTATACATAGCTTCAAGAATATCTCGCGTTTGGAAACACACGGCTTCCAAAGACGCCCTTATAATATGCTTCTTGGTAGTGAATGCAGTAAGGCCACAGATAATTCTGAAATGCGTACAAGATTAATTTCTTCAAATCATAGAAGAGATATAGTAACCAAATACCCGACTTTGAAGTGTTAAGCTAAAACATTTACCCTCTGGCATCTTGTCTCCAGTAAGGAGCATAAAGACCAGTAAACGCAGGTACGAAGTAAACATCCCCCGTATTGAAAACACTTTCTGCTAAATGCTCACATTCACTGACATCACTGATGAGCTTTAGATTGTCTCTTAGCCACTTTATAGCTGCCCCTGCAACGGCCACGGAACCTTCTAAAGCATAAACTGCCGGCTTGTTTGGACCTAATTGGTATGCCACTGTTGTTACTAGCCCATGGGACGAATGCACTCTCTGAGAAATCGTTATTATCACATGAAGCACGATAAAACACATCAACAGACTCTGAAGAAATGCGTTCGCTTGCAACTAAATGTCTCGGATATTGAAAGCAAAGAACAGGGTGTACCTTAGTTCCGGTGTTACAGAGGAGAAAACATCCGCTTCTATATGTATTCTTTGCTTGGCCTGGCTTCAAACAGGTTTGTCCGACTAGCGCCGCCTGTTGATTGCCCAGAATCTATAGAAAAAAAGAAAAGCAACCGATAGTATTATCGACCTCTATCATTAGGATTCATCGGCGGTCTGATTAAAAATAGAATAGTAAATCTATGGGTATCATTAATATTAAACTCACCCCGGATATTTTAATGCCTTCTAACGGTCCGTCGGTAATTGTACCATAAATTTCAGAGCTGCTCCTGATTTGCGGTAAAATTTCCATCGGAATGTCGAAATACCTGCAGAGTATAGGATCCCATGCCAGAGATTCTATGTTCATGAGCATGGTCCTTGAAGCATTCGTTACGTCGGTGATGTACAGACCTCCATTTTTACCTCCTGTTAAATTCTACAATGAGCATGACATTGTTAATACGTGAGTAAATATATTGACAAATACATTCATTATCAAGTAACATCTCAGGACGTACCCACACTAACCACGTATCCATGGTTCCAACTTTGCACCGCTTTTCGCGCATTGCTTTTCTGACTGCCGGTACGTTGTCCTTCAACCAGCGAATTTTCAAAGCCGAAAAATAGGGATTAACCGGTAATCCGCATATCGGTTTTAAATAATTTTTACTTTTATCAGGAAACTTGGCGATTATCTGCTCAGCGAGGGTATCCGTCCTGATATCGGACCAAACTGTAAAAAAAAAAAATGCAGACTGAAACACTCGAGGTAAATCTAAAAATTGGAATACCTGATAATCTGTTTGATTAATTATTGTACCTATTGCATTGCAGAGTGGATCACCCGTTTTATCATCCCACGCCACCGTAGTTTCCCTCTGATTGGTGATACCAATGGTGACCATTAACGAAAGGCTTAAATTCATGGCTTCGAGTTGTTTAACTACTTCTTCGATACAAATTTCCACGGAACGGAAAACCTCCTTAATGTCCACTTCGACCCATCCTTCATTTGGATTAAGTTCTTCGATATCCACATGGTGCGCGGCAACTTGAGCGACGTGTTTTGCGTTGAAGACCTATTCGAGCAAAAATCATGATTACAACAAACAAGGAAAACTCACGAACATTCCTGATATAATAAGATCACAGTCCGTGTGGTGATGCAACGCTTGATACTTTGATCGGGCGATCAATCGCTGCGCCTACCTTCGCATACCTGGATCTACCACCAATTTGCTAAAATGATTCTTCCCATCGCGCACATCATTAAACATAGGACACATTACAGAATTAATTAGAGTTCAGGCGATAGCGCGTATTAATTAAGTGATGTAAATAGATAACGCATAAAATCTCACCACGAATCCCGTCGTCCGAGTGCCGAGGTCGATGACTCCCACTAACGGTCCAGTACCTGAAGAGGGCATTATTTCTGGAAGGAAAATATTCAGAAATTATTAAAATATATTGAAATCCACTTTACAAAAGTTACTTATAATCACAAGACGTTTGATAGGCGGATAAAAGAGGCAGAATTTTCCATTCGGAAGAATCGAAGAGTTAACGTGAGAAATTTATACCAATTTTCCGGTCCGATTGCCGGCAATCCCCGTTTCAAAGATAAAAAGGAAAGAATCGTCCGACTTGCCTTGATAACATACAATGATAGACCGATCGAAGATTTCGGAGCCGCGAGAGTGCAGTTCTGCGTTTGAACTTTGCGGACTTGGAGTAAACTTCAGGTTTCTAGGAAACTATACGCTCGGCGTCGTGCAGCTCTAGGCAAAGGCATGCGAGTAATGCACAACCGGCCACTCGGTCTTTCCTTTTTCAAGCAAGCCGTAATACCGATGACGTGCTTGGATGGAATCGAGCGCGCTGATTGGCTGGCCGGAGAGGCTTGCCCGGTCGCGCCTTTTCTTTCCTTTAGACTCGCGGACATTGGTCAGTATTGCTCACTTGAGTGCGTCACTTGGACATTACCTAAGGAGTACTCGAATAAGATATCGAGACGATCTATTCGCCCAAGAGGAATCGTTCTAATAAAAAAGATCACTTTTCAAGCCTGTAGATGTTACTCATACTTTGCTTTTAGCGTCACAAGATGTCTTTCAGTAACTTACAGGCTACGGATAAGAGACATCCATTAACGCTAAAATTGAGGGTATAGTCGAAGGTCGCAGAATTTTCATCGCCATATAATGCACTTAAGTTGACATAAAAGTGACGTTATATCTGAGAGATTAATCGTTTAACGTAAGACGAATCTGAAGGGTATGGTCAAAGACGATGAAATCCCTTATCAGTTTCATTTAATCTGCAATACTCGACTCGCCCACATGCTTTTCTGTTTATTCACATGACGTGATATTGTTGTCGCAGGACTGTTTCAAGGTATCATTGAACTTTACGATTGCAGACAACTGACGCATCAGCTGAATTCTATTTCGTATTTAGTCTTGATAAGGACACTTTTCGGTACAAACGGCACACCGTCTACGCGTCGAAAAGCACGCAACGTTATTGCGATCTTCGGATCTAAGAAAATAAATGGCACAGCTCGGGCATTAAAACAAGAGAGCGCAACGTGTGAAGTAATCGGGGTAACGTATTAATAAAAAATGTTAAATGTTAATAGACATTCTTTCTAGAGCGAGCCAATGTTCGTTCTCGATTCTCACCTGACATGATCATCGTGTATAGCCCGAGTATCCCATGATTAGTCACGAAATACTAATTCAAGACGAAATTAAAACGAGGGGCGCAACTTAACCAAAGTTACGTCTGTGGACCCAGAATGTAGTCATTTGTCTATTTGGAAAGATTAGTGCGTTGCACGTGTGGTGTGTACGGATATGTACGTACTTAACGCAAGAGCGGCTCGTGAATCAAACATGGACGATTAAGGCAGGCTTATTATTATTATTATTTCAACACATTCCCAAATAATGTTCTCATTGACTCCCTCCGCAATCACGGTACAACAACGTCGGCCCAGAATTTGTTTACCGTCAATAATTAATATCAAGTAAACGCGACCAGAGACTACCATGAGGCAGTTTCGCGACTTTCACGAGGAGGAACTTTCTAATAACTCCGTAAAATTTAATGAACGACGTTTTATGAGCAAACATTATAACATGTTACAGGGATTCCTATTCCTTGGAGAGCCTTGCCAATTTCGCAAGGATTCCTCGAGAAGCCTGTCAACACCGCAGACGAGCCAATCGCAACTCAGTGGTCCATTCGGTTGCAAATGAATTATCGACAATAATACGGAGAACAGATTGTCATTCTAAATTTACTCGCAATACGTAAACGGTGATTCCCGCCGTACGTGTCATAAACAATACGAGAATGCCGCGCGCATTTCACAACTCAATTGAGATGTTAATTTTCTTCCTTTACACGGCAGACCGCGGTGAGTTAACGATTTCCTCACTTAATGACAATGACCTCGAATAATTAAAAAAAAAAAAAAAAAACTGCCATCTTGACCAGAAGTTCAGGCCGGCATGTGACATCACTGTTGAGCGATCTAGATCGACTGTCAGAGGCATTCACTTGGCACGCTTTCGAATATCTACCTACGTATCGACATATGTGCTCGGTCCATAACAGGGAAGCTTCATTTTGCAAGCCCGAGATGCAATCGATTTTCCCTGGGATTAAATTAATTTTCTATCTGATCCGCGCCAAAGACCAGCCGAGACAGGTGCATGTGCATCTTACACGCATTGACCGAGTCCTCAGGATATGCGGAGGCCTTTCGAAAATGCAAATCACTTGGCACGCAGCACTGAGTTTCTATCGTCGTCTCGTTGCTTGTACACCCTGAACGAAATCTCAGCATTTCGCGACACAATGTGAGTTACCAGACGTCTGTGCCAATACGAGGCCGGACGCATGACTCAGAAATTAGAAGTTGCACGATAGGAGGCTTATCAACTCCTGTGTGTACTACATTGTCAGTTTCTTAACGTTAATTCGAGCTATAGACTTGTAACTACATATCACAGTCGTCGACCTAATCAAGACACATAGGAAAAATATCGAACAATGAATTGCGATTAATTATCCAATTTCTCTTGACTGATTGCCTCAATCTGCAGTCGCTGTATCGACCGTACTTTGGACAAGAGTTTGAGGAAATTTTATTCGAGTTAATCTCACTTCTATGCGCAAAAGCACATCGGGGTGCGATTGTTGCACGTAATCGTGGTGTCATAAGCATTAAACTATATTTTCCGCATTATTTGGCAAGTATGATCCCTGTCGCGTGATGCGTTTCAGAGCCCAGGTTGGGAGTCGCGACCACGGCGGTAGGGTCGATGAATTTATTCTTAGCAAGACCAGTGACACCACAAGATGGCCCTGAGAATGCCTTCTATGTTCTCCTACAATCGAAAGTCTTTCGCGAAGGTACACGTGCAAGGAATGTCGAAAGGTCTGCGAGTACCCTATTTTTTATCTCCTCCGCCTGATTAAATCCACCTCGATCCGGTCCATTGACACCGCGCGACCCCTGAATATTTTTCCTAAAATCGAAACTCCTCTCTCTTATCGTTACAGAGCTCTAATCTCGGATAGTCTTCACTTACGTCCAGGATTGTAGGAGTAGTACTCGAATATACTCGTCTTCCTCTCCATTTTCGTGGGTGGTCTTCGATCAGGGCCCTCTTCGTCCATCAAACCAGGAACCTCTTCAAGACTGTCTCGGAATGGCCTCGATGAGCACCGTCTGATCCCAAAACACAACACGTGCGTTGAACTGTCAAAGTACTGTCAAACGGACACCACGTGGTCGCCGATCAGCTGGACGGGTAGATCGGGGCGCACCTCGCGAATCGATTGTCGGAGGCTGAATCGGTCTCCGACATATCGATCCACTATCGAAAGAGAACTGCGTGTCACATTTAGGGTGCCCTCTTCAGGGCCAAGTTCGTAAATAGACGTATTTCCATCTAGTCCCCCACGAGTGACGGATTATCCATCCTGGTTGGATGTATCTGGCACACGTGATTCAATCTACGTGGGCGACTTCCTTCGCCACAATGCGCGCATAAACTTTACGACCATGCGAGTCGTTTTTCAAAAGTCTAATTTACTGGCAAGGGGAAATCGTTTCAAATAGTCTTTATGGCCTGAAAAAAAAGAAGATAAACCACGCGTAACAATGCTCCATTTAGTGGGTCCCAATAAATTGCACTGATGTAATTAGCAAATCAAGGGTACGCGCTAAATGCCCTGACCATGATATGTGGTTAGTGAGTCGAGATAACTCAAAAATATTCCATTCAACGTGGTACCTGTGCTTGTTCATAAAAAAACAAAAAATGAAATTATCACCGAGGAAATGGATGGTTTTGTGGCATAACACACATGACAGAATGTTCAGATTAAATGATAAATTTGAAAATTTGGCATTTATGAATGACAATTCACCTTGCAGAACTTGGTAAAAATGGGGCTAATTTAATTGTCAAAAAAAGAAATCACGTCAGATCGGGCTATCGGAGCACAAAATAATTTGGAAACTTTGTTCTTTAGCGCCAGTAAAACTTCTTAAGGTCATTGTTATCAATGTTGGTCGTTATGAAAGAATCACGCGTAAAAATAATGGTCCTCGATAAAACTCGACGTTTGCGAAACGTCGTTGGAAAAATAGAAGATACGTCGGATTTGTGAAAGAATGGCACTCAAGCGGCGAAAATATTTATCAAAATTCTAATTAATTGCAATTGCCGAAATCGATTTCGGTTCATCCGTTAGAAATGTTATTATTAACAAAGATGTATTAACGGTATAGTAATCATGACGGAATCAAGGAAGCCTTGTGTAATTCGGGAATTACTCATCGAGTTTTAATCTCATCTTCATTAATATCGAGGTCCGAACGACGATCGCGTATTTTTCCTTGAAAGGCACGTACATTTGGTCAACTAAAGTCCCGATATTTATGACAAACGGTTTGTACTTTGATCAGTCTGGGCGCCAAGATCTCGATAAATGACAATTCCGTTAACGTACGATAACGATAATCTCTCGACATTTCCTTTCCGAGGATTTTAGAGGCGCCAATAATGACTACCTTTTTCCATTCCTTATCAGTTAAATATAGCCTTTAAGGTACAACTGAAAGAAATATATTAGACGATATTTACAAGGTTTTAAAAAAAAATGATTAACTTTTATGGAAAGGAAAAAGATAGTCGGAAGTCACTTCCACAGTTTAGTTTCAAAGCAAATTATCAAATCGATGACGGTTTTATTGTACTGGACATGATGTGGTCTGTAAATAGGCCGCATAATGCGTTGGTTTTTTCCTGGGAAGTATCGGACTACCCGAGAGAGAAGAAGCTCGCTGGTCTTATATAGAAACTCCACCCTATGATCACCACTAGCGAGAAACGTAGAGAATATAGCACCACCACCAGATTAAATTCCAAATTAGTTCAACTAGTCTATTTTCAGTTATTATTTAGAAGTACAATTAATCAAACATTCTCACGGGCAATTCGACATAATTTCAACATGCATCCAATATTTTAAATCATTTTGCAGCGATACATGAAAGCAGGGACTGGATAGGTGATTCTCCATCTAGCGGCGGCGCGGTGAACTAAAGAGCGAACTCGCCGCGCAACTCGACTTTGCGCGCCAAATTTGAACGTTCCCACTGCCGAATAATAAGTACATTAGTACAATCCGTCATATCTCCGTGACACAGGTGGAAAAAGTGGCCTTGGTTTAAATTAGAAGTGTTTCGACGTGGTTTCAAGTTCGAACATGAGAGAGATAAACGAAAGAAATCTGAACAGAGCTGTGAGTACATTCGAAAAGAGATACCTGTTAATATTTTTGATTTTTGATTTGTCAATTGAACTCATTACGGTATGATTGAGCGTTCTTAGGATATTTTCAATTGGAGACCAGAAATAATCCGGCAAAAAATTCGCAAAGGCGTGCGTATGGTAATTCAACACTTTGTAGGTTGACAAGAATGACTTTCGAGAATATTAATCAAGCTACGTCATCCGTAAGCTACGAGGTGGATAATTAACGCGACTCTGTATCGTAAAAGGGAGATATGTTAATATCACTCGTGGACATCGTACATCATTACATTTTACGAGAAACAAGTTTGTATAACACGGTTTCTTAACCCTGAGAATATCTTATCGTAACTAATTGTCTAGATGGTTATTTTTTTTGTATCAAACCCAATATCTCCAAATCTCCATTTTGCAGTCAAAACAAAGTGTCACCTATACATAGCTTTGACTATGTTAAAGCCGCTATCACCGTGAATTTTGTCCGTTACGAATAATGAGGTCAGCAATGAGTTACGATCAAGGTCATTACGTTGTATTTAATTCACAGAGGTCATTACGTTGTATTTAATTCACAGAGGTCATTACGTTATATTTAATTCACAGAGGTCATTACGTTGTATTTAATTCACATATATATGTTAATGTCGTACGTCGATTAATCATTTCTAGATTTAAACCAGATTTAGGAAAATAAAAGTGTCGATCGAGAGGAACGACGGTTATTTATGAAACTGCCATGGAAAAATATAAATCTTTCGACTCGTCCATTATCACGGTTCGTGATAAAAAATTATGCGTAGTCAACTGCAGGGCGAGTAAATGAAAGCGGCGTGCTTGTAATTCATGAATTCACTTCGCATGTGTATTGATGAAGTAATTGAAGCGCGGCTTATTAAACTAATCTACGACTAAGGGCACTAGAGACATTGGTTAGGAGCACCGGTTCAGGAGAATTAACACTTCCCCCGGATTAACGCGTATTGTCACTGCAGGAACTTGATGATTCGAATCTGCAAATTAATGACATGGATATCTATTGAGTGAACCACGTGACGGATTAATTCCCGAACTCTTTAAAACGGTAATAAATAATGGTGCGCGTTATTTTTGGCAGTGCAACGATGCGGTTGGAATTCTGGCAAAAATACTTGCCTCATGATCGAGGGCTCTATCCTGAAAAACCGTATCCTGCACATTAAGGGGGCATTAGAAATGTTTTTCAACGACCTGAGTGTTTTCGATATTTGAAATCGAACAAGCACGTGCGAGGAATTCTGGGAGTTATGTCAGTGTGTATCGCCGCGGTGAAACGGAGCGCAGCTCGGAGCGGCGGCCGCTTTTTTCGCGATATTCTTGACAGAACCTCGCACGTCTAGGTAGTTGAAAATCTGGCAATCATGTGTAAGTTTTCGAAGTACTTGCGACAAAAGGGCTGAAGATCGTCGGCTGGCCACGCAGGTTGCTAGTTTGACGGCGGTCAATACCACTCCGGTTTGCCTGCAGGCTGGAGGTCTGCAGCACGGGGTCACGGAGCTCGTGAAAACAGAAAACGACACATGGACACTACTCGACTTTCGAAAAATGCCTGGCAAAGTAAAACACCTTTTTCATGGTTTTTTCGTTAATGCACACCGCAGTGGGTTACCGTCATTCGTTAGCCGATTATACGCGCTCTGCGACTGCTAGCGACCATGTGCCGCAACTGGCCGCAACTGAACCTCGAGGACCAAGCCTTCGGCTATATAAATAATGTAGATACAGCGCTATGTGCAAAATGTCTGTAACCTAACCTTACCGTCACGCGCTATGGTAGAATTGCGCCGTGAGAATCTTTCGAAATTATATATTCTTGTGGGGACATCTATCAACCATCTAACGAACTATGTACTCTGTTTCAGATTCTGACCTAACCTCGAAATAGGAACTGTCAAAATGGATACATGGAATGAAATAACACCAAGGTATGACGATTTTAGATATTTTTGCGAGTTTTACGTTAGTTATTGTTTAAATAATATGTGTTTTACTCCTTTTAGTGTCAGAAAAGGATTGAAGATAGTAGAGAGACTAGACTGTGGAAAGTTTCGCCTTCTTGTTAACCGAATCTGTCAGAGCCTAGAGTTAGCTAACGACAACAGGGTTTTTAGTGATGAAGAAGAAGAGAAGCTGATGATATCTTTAGATTTAAACAAAGATGAATTGGATCTGCTTTTGGACACTATTACTAAAATTTATAAACAGGCTGCTTATTGTATGATGAAACCGGCTGTAATGGAAACTCTAATGAAGGATAAATTTAATATCGGAGAAGATAAAATTGCTGCCTTGTTACATGCCTGGGTTACTCATGCAAAAAACATTGTCGATGCGTTCAGAAAGAAATCAATTTTTCCTAATAAGGTATTTATAGATCAATCCTTCCTAATGTTTATGCAAAAGAACTTTTAGAAATAATTTATATTCTTCCGATTACATGCTACTATCTTTGCTTCAGGTTGATAACATTAGTTGGCACTTGAATGTAGAAACATCGTCGTCCTTTATTTCTAAAGAAGCCCGACCAGTTGTATTGCTTCAACTTGACCTGAGTGGGGAATCCAGTAAGAAGTTAACAGTTGAAATGGACAAGTCTGAACTTACAGATCTTTATCATAGTCTGGAGAAAATTCAAAATCAACTTGACTCACTTAAATAGCCCGCAATAAGTTTTATATAAACTTATGTGATATACAGTGTACACATATGTCTTTATATATACGATTTTTATTATACCCAAAATTAAATTTACATCTGAAATATACATATTTATTAATGTTCAACTTGTGTTTATAAGTTGATACTTTTTCGAATTTAACTGCTAAATGTATTTAGTTCTGTAAGCTCCGTATGATCACAGCACAACTGCAATCGATCATTGAGTACGTAAAACCACTCTCAATATCTTGCTACTCCCAGAACTGGCACTGATCATCCTGAATGTCAAGTACTGAATTTGATATATTTTTTAAAGTATTTAGACTCAAAACTATATCATATAAATACAATTTTAATCACAATCAAACTAACGGCAATTATTTGAACTATTTTGAATGTTATTAACCCATTAACAGATACTTTATGTCAATCGAGACGTTTGAGGTTATTTTAAATGCGCATACGTGTCAAATGTTCAGCGTTTTAGATCGTGCTAAAGACCTTGGCCCTGCAGGCAAGGATTGGGTTTAAAATGGCTTGGCTATCAGGTCTTGCCGATAAGGCAGAAAATCTGCTTAACAAAATAGACCAAAATACAGCTGCTGTACTAAGTAAAGATAAATATGAAATGGAGTCGCAACAACATCATTCAGCGATTACATGGACTGCACTACCCTCTGGGTAATTATTAAGATTGTTAGTTGCTCTTTTACCCATATTTTAATGCTGTGATTAATAAACATCTCAGGGTTGTAAAAAATGTTGGATCGATGTCTCCATTTGGGTCTCCGAAACATTTCCCATATACACGATCAACACCAAATTTGGGGTCCATGAGTCCAGGTAAATTAAAAGTGGATAAAGAGGAAGAATTGATTACATACTTAAATACCCCCACTGTATCACCAAAAAGGAATGTTGAACTTATGTCTTTGGCATCACCATCCGTTCCTGAAACAGTGATTTTGGAACCTGCAATAAATTGCTCCGATGCAAGAATATTGTCTATTTCTGATGACGATGTGAATTTAAAAGGGAACTACACATCCATAGATGTTCCAGATAAAGATGTTATTATTCCATTAATAAGTGAAGGTGAAAGTGTGAAGTCACATAATGAAAGTGAAAGGATGACACCTGAAACACAATTATTATCCCAGAAATTATTAATAAACCAGTATGAAGGAAACTCTGCTGAAAATGGTAAATACCGTTTTATTCAGGACGTCAAATTATTTTTCTACATTTTTCTACTTTAATGGTATTTCTTTACACTTTTTTTCTTACACAGACAAAACTATATCGCAGGAACATGTACATGCTATTAGAGTGGAAGATGAACCAATTTTGGGTCAAACAAAAATTGAAACAGAACTCTTGGTAAGAAATACTGGAGACATTGATTTAAACACACACCTGCAAAGTGCACAAAAAGATCTGGAAGAAAAGAATCTGTTACTTGACAAGCAACAAATGGACCATCAAAAGGAAGTGGATGCATTGAAAGAAAGCATACAGACATTGACACTTGAGACTTCGCAGTATGTAAAGCAAATAGCAGAAATGCAGTTAACTGTGGAGAGAATTAGATCAGAGTTAAATTCCACAAGATCAGAACTTGATCAGCATCGTGCTAGAGCCCTTAAGACGTTACAGGAAAAGGAAAAATTAATAACAGAATTAAGAAGTAACGTTACCACAGGATTGGATGATGTCACAACAGTCATGGAACTTGATCAATTACGGTATGATTTAAATGGCTCTGTAATAAATGATTCTTTGGTCAGTTTATATTCATGTAATCATATCGATATTAATATTGTAAGTGGTTACCATATTACTTCAGACAAGAACGAGATTCTCTAAGAGAAGAAAATCAGCAACTCTGCGAGCAGTTACGGTTAGCAAGAGAAGAATTGACCAATGCAGAACTTAAGTTTGAAAAAATTAGACAACAATCGGTTGAGACTAATATACGAGCTCAAGAAGTAATTACTGTAGAAAGACGTAGACGATTGGAAGTTGAAGAAGATGCACGAAACAATTCAGAGGTAATTCGTAGGGATGTTAAACAACCTTCAATTAATTTTTATAATATACATTATGAATGAAATTCGTTTAGGAATTAAAATCTCTAAGAGAGGAATTGACGCGACAGCAAGACAGTTTCTCGCAAAAGTTACAAAAACAGCAAGCAAATATTTTACGATTGCGATCACAATTATCCGCGGCCTCGACACCAAACAGCGAAATTGAAGCAAGATTATCAAGTCTTACTCAGACGTTGGTAGTAAAACAACAAGCGTTAGAAAGCCTAACCACTGAAAGAAATGCCTTGCGTTTGCAACTGGAAAAGATCGAAGTACGTTACATTAGTTTACACCCTTCTTTTATTTTTCGTAATCAACCTGTGACGGTATTACTTATACACAGCATGAGCATCGAGACGTCATGGGAAATATGAGAAAGAATTTATTGTATAATAACGTAAATGACACGGATGATGTAAAAGCCCAAATTCCTCCCTTTTTTGCTGAAACCCCTTTTGATACTGGCGTAACAAGAAGAGTAAAAAGAGCTTACTCGTCATTGGATGCTATCAGTGTTCGTACAGGTGTCTTCCTCCGGCGATATCCATTGGCTAGAATTTTAATATTCTTTTATATCGTAAGTATAGCACATTTTTTGTCTAAACTCCTTCCAGTACATTACATCTGTTTTATTTATTATATCTGTGTTTAGGCTTTACTACAATTTTGGGTACTCATAGTGCTTTTATCCCAATCACCTGATGCACATTAAACACATCTGTATTTAAAATTGGGAATGGCATAAGATGAACAATAAGGGATATTAATGAAATGTAAGGAATTTCAGACATGTCCAAATCAAGGACCATTATTGCACATTGTGCAGGAGATTATAATGAACCTTTGCCAAGATATGTCTAATTACTTCTCTCCGTTGAAATAAGGAGAGAGAATTAATCGTTGTAAATCAGTGTAAATAACGTCAGCTGTTAATTGAAGGGCTAATTAATAAAATCTTACGGTTTATTCAAAGGTGTCTATTTTTTCAACATGTTCGGGAATCAAGTTGATTATATATTTAATACTATAAAGGTAATGAATGTTGAATCTCTGATGATACGCCGTACAATAAATAAATAAATTATTTATAATAAACTCGATGTCATATGCGTCGAACACTATGAAACATCACATGCTAACTTTCACGTACACGTGTATTATCCCTTTGTGCAGGAATCTGTAGATTGTTTTTCACTTGCGCTAGTGCAAGTCGGCCGATAGGTACAAACCATTCGGAAAGCATCTGTATCAGCGATTTTAAGACTCGGAGTACTAATCGCTTCACCTATTGTTAACTACGAGCAATTTACAAGAAACCATGAAGATCTAAAGGAAGTTCGGTATTAAAACTAACACCTGGTAAGACCAGTAAAATTGGGAGTCGATTTTTCTGCATCGCTCTAAAAATGAATTCACAAGGGCTTAAGAAAAAGCGAGATCACCGTGAAATATACAGTAATATACGCGAGCTTACACTACAAGCATCTAAAAGGTAATAAAATGAAAATGAAGAACGATGAAGATTCGGAATACGTGGACATACAACATACATCTCGCGACGACCTATGTAAAGATATTTAATTTGGTTGTTCCGCGTTCTAAAGTGATATAAAATATGCTCTCCTACGATGCTAAGCTAAGCACGTTGATATGGTAGAAGCTACGTTTTATACCTTATCAGTAATACCCACACTTTAGCGCATTTCGATTCCGCACCACCAATACACACGAAATTCCGTAAGAAAATATTTTCTCCATTTGCGCTTGCTCGGATAATATACTTATCAAGCGTAAAAAGTTAGAAAGTCAGTTTCCTCTCAACACCCAACAGCCGAGCAGAGAAGGAAACGCGCCAAATTGTCTCACCTGGGTCATACCCACGACCTTACTCCTAAACGCGGTAAATTATAATTATTCATATTGCTCTAATAATCGGAAGTTAGTTCTGCATTGCTAGGCACAAACTCTATTGATAATTTGTTCGAGTGTAGAATCGACATTAAGGAGATATACTTATTTATTATCACGTGCCTGATTTAAATGTCGAATTACGTAGTACTATCCCTAAATTACAATGATTATCACACCATCACAAAACCGTTTAGTTACAGAATTTACATTGCTTGTGGGATTGATATTCTGGTAAACCTCTGAGCGAAATTTACCAATTGCGGTTTGCACGATCCATGCGGACTTACTACTATCTATAGTAGCATTTCGGACACTACTGCTCCCAGTACGCGAATCCGATAATCCGGCATTTATTCTACGATCTGTAATTTAACGTCTTCAACGTGTATAAGCTTAGCCTAAGCGCAAGAAAACCGTCAACGCGGCATTTAAGTCCGTACTTTCACAAAGGGGTACTCGAGACTTCTCGTGGAGTAACATAAATAGAGAGTTCTATCTTAACTCGCCTCGCGAAATCATCCGCATAAAGTACACCATAAAAACAACTCGACCATGATCCCACAAACGAAACCATTCCGATTCCCTGCGATTTTACGACCTCGTTAACCGAATTTCTCCTTTTCACTCTGACCGAACGAGTCGATTCTGCATCAAGAAACGCTAAAGCGATCATGCAACAAAACCACGAACTTGACGTATCCTGCTACTATCCTCGTCCCACTTCACTATTCGATACTACAGAATATACGTCTCAAGTGAATTATTGATTCCCATAATGCGCCTTCACGGGTATTACAAATACAATTACCCCCAGTTCAATTCCGCCCTTCGTCGCAGAGGAGACTCCCTCGTTGGTGCATTGTTTATAGTGACAAACATTTGATGGACCCTTTCAGAGGCTCGTAATTCATTCTTATCGGGTTCATTATGACATCTCACGTCCTACGTGGACCAGCCCTTTAACTCTATGCACTATCGGAGCTCGACAACTTCGCAGCATCTACCATAGAAAAGCCGATTGCATCGCGCTGTTCGATCGGAAAGGCAGAATCCGTCGATCGGGTCTGCCGCGGATGTTTCCCGATTTACAACTTAGAGTTCTCAGAATCATCCGAGGCGTAATCCATGGACGTGTCGCTGTCGAACTCCGAAGAGGAGGACGTTGACGTTACGCAATTCGTCAAGGTATTCATCGAGTCCGAAGTTGGAGGTGACGTTGGCGTCGTGGAGACCTCGTCGGTTGTCGAGGAAACGACGGATTCCTTGGAAGGGGCTTCTTTATTTTCCTGGCATTGCTTGTTTTCGGGGTTGCTGAGGACCGATTGGATGAAATCTTGCGTCTCGGCCCTCAGGGCGTTCACTCGTTTCTGCAGTATTTGATTGCGTCGTACCAGCGCCATGGTACGGCTTACGATGTTTAAAAGACCTGAAGTGCAGAGATAATTGCAATCAACGTATGCCTTAAAAAACGATTAGCCGCCACGCCGGTTGAAAGTGAAACTTCTAAACTAAATGGAATAAATATAGGTCGTTCATAATTATTCGTAACAAAAAAAGAAAATCGTTTTAACGACCCAATCGTCATTTCATAATGTGCGAATTTATGCGTACGACCTGTAAGAAGTTTCCATTGAGAAATCCAAAAGTACATAAAAGTGAGTTTACCAAAGATGCTAAAATATATTTAGAATATACTTTTGAAAATTAGGGAAGAAGAATGCTCACCTTCGCGTCTCGTGATGATCGTCTTCCAATATTCTTGGGGATCTTTCGGGACCCTAGCCGTGGAATTCTGCGAGGAGTTCAAAACCACCGGGGTGCAGGAATCCGTCGCAAATTGGGGATCCCAGAGGAAGTTCTCGGAGGGCGGCGCGGGTATGCTGTCCTCGGACGGTGCGTTTAATATCTGCTTGATATCGGCCCGTTGGTGATGTTGCTGGCGCTTCCCGATTCCTCCATTGTGAGTCTTGAGCCGCCTCCGGGTATACGGACTGGATGAGCCCCTCGTAACGGGGAGTTCCGAGAGGCATATGGTCGGCGCCATGTTTCTGCGCAAAACGAGATTACCGAATTACCTTCCGATAAGAAGAATCTCAGATCGGAATACCGAGACATCGTCGACTACATCGTGACAAGCGGAAACGTTTAATTAGTAAAGTGACGATAGAAAGATAAAAGAGAAAGAAAAAATTGGGGAGAGAAAAGAATCGCGACTAGCAATAAATAATTCCCTTTGGCGAGTCGCTGATTGCCCGGCGACCTAATTAACGGGAGGAGGAGTACTCTCGAGGCTCGATATAAATTACGGATGCTTATCCTGTCATCGGGACCACTTTTTACGGTCCTCGGCCACGGCTGCGCCAAAACCGATCGACCTGTCGCGACAACGAGGAACGGCCGTTCTTATCGGACACGGAACTGTCATCCTAACTCGAGGAGAGGCTCGGAAATCGCTGTAAAAATATCGCCGGCATGTCGGGCATCGTTGCAGCGGTCATGTATCCCGGTACTTAAAAATAACGCATTCCACGGATATAGCCGCCGTCGGCGGGAGATTAGGAAAGCGAGGTGTTCGCTCCGGAAATCGAACTGGCCACCTGACAAAACTAATCAAGCGACTCCTGAAACCGACTCTTACATTTCTCGCCATTTAAGCGCAATGCGCGTGACAGTCATGTGCTTCGATCGCCGTCAAATTTCTCAAATAACATTCACGAGGCCCGTGAAAAAAAAGAAAAATCAAACCGAACGGAATCGAGCTTGCAAAAGTCGACGCAGAAATTGTTTGAATTCATTCGGTCAAGCGATCAATTATTTATTGTATACCATTCTTATCATATGAATAAAGAACTGGCCTTAGAAATTGCGCGGATTGAATTCAGGAGTAGATTTGGGAAAAAGGAATAAAAGCTTGCGCCACGCTTAAAAAGGTGATGATGGTATCGATGCATAGAAAAATTGATTGGCAGTTGACGAATCGATTCGAAAAATTCGCTCGATCTCTCTTCGTTGGAAAAAATTGACTTTTCAAGGAATCGCCCATCTCGACGTCGAATAGGCGCTCGTAACGAGTATCGTCATGGGGTGACAGCTGGGATATTAAACGGCCGTTCGAGGGGTAGTTCCGGACGTGGAGGTTCGGTCAAAAGGGGTTCCAGGGGCCCCAGGGTCCACCAAGGGACCGACCCGGGGCGCACCATGGTGTCCTTGAACCCCATGGGCACACGTGCAGAACGCCATGCCCGACACGCGCGTTTTCGCGTACCAGTTCCGTGCGTGTCCTCGCGTCTCTGTCTTTCCATCCACGGATGGTACAGAAGCGAGACACGTGCACTCACCACCGTGAAAACCGTGAAAATAACCGGGCACTTGTCTGATATCCTCAAAATATGACCACATACATGTATAAACAACACTTTCAGACATGAATGCCTCCTCCGCGTATCAGACATGATACGGTACACAAATGTAAGGCAGTCATATCGACCAAGGTACTTGCATTCAACTTGCGCTGAAAAATCGATACATAGCTGCCACGCGCGTTGGAAGTGAACCTTTCAAATTTACAGAGAATTCGATGATATTAATTAATTATCTTCACTTTTTATTCGGATTATTTTCATTTCGCATTAATTGTTAATCAAACGCATGAATTACGTGTTGGCAACAACGGAGGCGTCTCACTTTCCGAATTTTTGAAAACGTGCAATTAAGATCGAGATGTATGAATTTGTCATTTTTCATTCGAACTGAGAGAATTCGAATGGCGCAGGAGACGTTCTCCGGTCGTCGAGGATGGGATAGAAAAGGAGAGAAAATCGATCCACTTGCTTTTCCTGTTCCTTTAGCGAGCCATGGGGCGGCACGGGCAAAGCTCGAAAGCTGTGTCGGAGTATCGTTCAATTGTCGTGACAGGATTACCCTCGCGTGGGAGTGGACGTCAATGGGGACACAGGATCGCCATTATCGATCGTTATCATCCTTTATGCATGCGATCAGCAGTGATTGGCACTTTCCTTCCGGGGAAATCGGCCAACTTGTATTTCTGCCGGGTAATGTATCGAAATAACGCGATGTACCGAGTGCAGAGAATGTGAAATCACGAGGAAAAGGAAAGTCTATCCATATTTAATTTTTTTTTCTCACCCACGCGAATGATGTAACGAAAATACACCGAGATTCGCATCTCCGTAGATTAGAAACTATTAAGAACGCCTGGTTGATTCTAGTAATTACGTAAATCGGAAGAAAGGACGTGAGCTAACCGCGTCGATATAATCAATCGAGTGGTCCAAAATGCAGGGATAATTCTCAATAAATAAGAAGATTTAAATTGGCTGAAGAGGACTTTCGATACTCGGAGTCTCGATCGGGTCCTTTTCTCTCGAAATTAATCAAAAGGAAATCGGCGCTCTCTCGTTGACGAATGCTGGCTCGAAACGCGTTCCACGGAATTATTCCAAGCAAGTGCCAAACTACCGGTATTAGTATACCACGAGGATTACTAATTTAGCCACGTGACGAGATTGCCAAAATTCTCGGAGCCCGAATTCGGCGTCACTCGGCGTTATACCTACCGTTGATTTTCGTATTAAGGAGCCGATTCGCTCGTTATTCTATTAGCTCCTTCCGCGAGAATATCAAAATAAAGATCGGATCAAGCCCACATATCCTACATCCCTGTACTTTTGCAAATTCGTATCTGGGACAATTTCGGTAGCGACTATCGACATCTCGAGGCGGGCGCGAGATAACAATGGACCGCTCGGGTCCACTCGGGCCACTTCGGGCGGTTTCGGGTAGTTCCGTAGCGGCAATGAGAGCCCCAAGACGGCACGTGTCGCACTTCGTTAGGTCGCACGTCCTCTGGCGTGACTCACTCGGAGATGCAGGTTGGACGAAGCGATCAAAATCCGAGAACCGTCCGAATGATCGAAATGCGCGAAGACAACTCGTAAACGTTGTCTTGCCTCCTCGCCACCTCCGAGCCGCCCAATTTGGCCCCGTGTTCCGGATATCAAGCGTGGTCCGAGCATTAATCGGACCGCCGGAGTTGCAGGAAGCGTTACACTCGACACGTGTGCGCCTACGACAAGCGATTCTCCTCACGCTCCTCCCCCGCGTCTGTCGCGAGTTCACCCTCAGAGAGGGTGGCATTTGGCACCAGCGAGTCGCGATCGTTTATCGTCCGTGGTCACGCGAGTCCGGCTCATCGTTTCGCCAGAATCCTCCCCGACCGTTTCTCCCCCAAAAACCTACACCTAACCTAAAACACCGTCCATATAGAAAATATAAGAACGAAAAAAAAATCGATCACGAGTGCGGTGATCACCTGGCAAATCGTGAATATCCCCAGAAATGGCAGCGAATCGCATACGAGTTCACTAGATTTGAGACACGTCTAGGTTACGTCTCGGGCAGGATTAAGAACGATTAAGAACTCGGCGTGTAAAAATGGAACACGAAATTAGCAAATCCCGGAACTCCGTGGTTCCTGCCCCATGCATCGGGGTGCACTGGGCGACCCGGCCACGTGCGCGCGTGGCCCCCCACCCCGCGGCGCGTCGCGTCGCTCCAGCCCTCCGACCCCCACCCCTCGGGCGGCCGCGTCCTCGGCCGTGCGCCGCGCCGTCTCCCGCACTCTCTTCGCGCTCACCGCGAGGAGAGGATGGGTGGCGCTCCTGGCGCACACGTGGCCGGGAGGTCGATGAACCCGAGTCATCCCGGCCGGTCGGCCGGGCGACCCGGGAAACGCCGCCGGGTTTGGGTTGGGGTCGGGCCGGCTTCGGCGCATCCTTTTCCTGCGAGGACAAAGCTCGATACTCCCGGCGACCCGCGAGGTGTACGCCCGCCCTCGGCGCCCTGCCGTCTCGCCGAGGTGTTATTTCGCTCCCCGGGGTCAACGACCCCAGGCCGAGCGGGCGGCAGGGCGGCTGCTCCGAATTATCGAGACCCTCTCTCTCTCTCTCTCTCATTTTATTATTATCGCGTTTATACGTCACACCGAGGCGGAGGAACAAAGGCATGGAAACGGACACCGACGAGCGATACGCGTCTCTCTTTCCGAACCCCATTTTGAAGGGCGCCGTGACCTCTCTGACGCGAACGGTGTCCTGGAAGTCCTGGCATGTAGGAGCGTCGAAACGCTAGGCCAGCGATTACGTGGGTAGTCGACTGCACGTATCGAGACCCGTGTAGGAAGCGAATTTAAAGGCGGCATGGCCACTAGGGAAATATCGACGCGTCGAGGGGTCACAAAGGCGAAGGTCGCGGAGCTTTCGGGAGGTCACCGAAGCGCAGCCTCTGGACCCGTCAGTTTCCAGATATCACGTCACACGAGAAATACCTCGAAAGTGCCCTCAAAGCTTGCCCAGGCGGTCTCGCTGGCGGAATTGAGAGGGCCCAATTTCCAGATGACCGCGCCGCTTTAAAGCCGACGCGTGTCGCCGAGGTCAGAGGGCGTTGACGCCCGCCCGGCCGGCCGAGATATCGGGAGGATCCCTTTCTTGTTTTCCCGTTTCCGAAGTGGTTATTTTTAGAGCGCGCCCGATCGAGGAGGGGCCCCTGCACGCGCGGTATGCAGCCAGCGGCGCGGCAGAGGGGCCGAGTGCATCGATCGTGTCGTTACTCTTCGGTGTGACGTCGCGATTCGGTGCGAATATGCGCGCGGCCATGGCGGCGCCTTTGCACCCCTGACCGCCGCTGTTGATCCTAACCTCGCTTCGGTCGTTTCGACCTCAGCGATAGACGATCGTTTCTATGCCCCAGTAGCCATACTTTACTCTTGGCGTCGAAGAACGTATTCTATCGGTTGTCTTTAAGGTGATATGAAAGCGTCATTCTGCATACATAAAATGTTAAAATACTTATAAAACTTTTCTCCAAACTGATTATGGAGGCCCTAAGGGAGAACGCGGTACTCGTGAATTCTCAGTTTTAATAAAAAAAGGATTTTTTATTTGTCCCAGACTAGATCCAAGAATACATATTTTTATTTGAAAATAAAATCTCATAAGCACCACGTTCTTCCTTACGACCTTTTTAATCT